GCCAACATCTTCAACAAGAGCAAGTGTCAGAACGGCTTCAAGCCCCGCGAGTCGCATCTGCTCAACGACGAGGACCTGACGCAGGTGAGCGGGGCCCGGGGGCGAGGCGGGCCTGGCGCCGGCGGCCCCCGCGCTCGGGGCCGGAGAGCCTCCCGGGAGCAGGCGCCTCGCCGCTCCGACGCCCGGGAGACGGCCCCGCATGGAAAGGAGGCGGGCGCGGGTGGGGGTGCATCTGAAGGCTCCTGGGAAAGCAAAGAGCCGGAAAAATGTGCATGAGTCCTGGCGTGCGAGTGTGAGTGTGTGTGTGTGTGTGTGTGTGTGTGTGAGAAGAAAGAGAGAGAGAGAGAGAGAGTGAGAGCCCGGGACGTGCACCGAGGGCCCGGGACAAAGGGAAAATCCTCAAGTATGCCGAAAAATAACATCCTCTCCGCTCCCAGCGCTGCCGGGTGATTCATGCTTTTTGGGTGACTCAAAAACGCCTGGTTTTCCTTAGTTCGGACACAGCGCCGAGGATTTGTTGCTGCTTCACAGTTCGCCCCCCCTCCCCCTCTTCGTGGGACCCGACTTGGACTTGTCCCCCCGGGTGGCCGCCGGGGTGGGGGCTGGGGGGCTGTGGCCTCTTCCTCTTGTCCTTGTGCTGTCGGGGCTGGAGTCCGGGGAGGAGGGTCTTCCCTTGGACTAAGCGGGGGGCCTGGTGTTGGTGGTGGGGCGGGGGCTCCTCGCCCGCCCGCCCGCCGGCCCTGGGCAAGGAGTGAGGCCGCCGCGGGTCCGGGGAAAGTCGGGTCCCTGCTCCCTCCTGTACCTGTCAGATGGGGCTCCGGGATGGTCCCGGGGCGCCCACACCTGCCTCTTTGAAAAGGCAGGTCCCGGGGCCCCAGCCCTGGAGTGACAGGAGGAGGGGTTTGGATGGGAACAGCCCCACTGGTCTTTGGGGACCTGGCACTGGCTGCCCCCCAGCTCGGGGAACACAGGAAGGCTTTGGGGCCTTCAGATTTGTTGGATTTCCAGCCTGGTCTGCATCCCCTTGGGGTGTCTGTGCCCCCTGCCCCACCCCAGAGCTTTCCGTCCTGCCCTGAGAGACATGCCATGCTGGGAGACCGGCTGGCCCTCTGCGTTTTCAGAAGAACCTGAGGAGGAAGGCGCTGCGGCCAAGTGCTCGCAGGGTCCGACTTCCTCTCGGGCTGAGGACAGTCGGGAGTTGGGTCAGGGCAGGAGTCATGGCCTGGGACGCAGTGCCGTCCTCTGGGCAGGTGCCCAACAGCCAGAAAAGACTCCTTTCATGTGAACCAGAAGCCAACCAGACCCTGAAGCTGCGGAGTTGGAAGATGGTTGGGACGGAGGGCAGGCAGGTCAGCCCGGTGGAGCTGGGTCTGGCCAGGTTCTGGCTGTGGGTTGGGCTTGTGCCGGGATTCCCTTTCTCCACTGGGTGCCTTTTTCTGGGAAGCAGAGTATGAGGTAATGAGGGTCCTGGCCGGGAGTCCGGAGACCTTGCTTCTCGTCTTGGCGGTCACTTTCAGTTGTATGACCTTGAGCAAGTCCCTTTGCCTCTGTACAGTTCATTTCCTTTAAAACATATTTTTATTGATTTCAGAGAGGAAGGGAGAGGGGGAGAGAGATAGAAGCATCAGTGATGATAGAGAATCATTGATTGGCTGCCTCTTGCGCCCCCCCCCCCCCCCCACTGGGGAAGGGGCATGTGCCCTGACCGGGGAATTGAACCCTGAACTCCTGGGTCATGGGTGGACGTTCAACCAAGGAGCCACACCGGCAGGGCTAGTTCATTTCCTTTTATATTTCTGGGAGTAGAGATTCCGGACTTACCTCACTCACCAGGCTATTGTGAAAAGGAAGGACTGATGTTTTATTAGATTTTTTTTCTTACAATTTAAAAAGACAAACAAAAAACACCTTTGGAATAGTAAACGAGGGGTTGGCGGAGTTCTGAGAGTTTCCTTGTTATTCCAGGCAGTCGTCAGAGGGCTTGCTTTCTGATTCTTAGGCTTAGATTAACTAGAATGAAATATGTATATTTGAGTTGAATCTGTTAAAAATTTTAAAAAATCTGTTGATAATTTGATTCAGAGGAGTGGGGTTACACATTCTAAGTACTTTTCCTCTTTCACTGTGTTCACAGTTGAATTGTTGATTTTAAAACAGGCCTGAATGGTAGTTTCTGAACTAATGAGTGGGGCTATTTGTGCTGCGAGAGATTAGGTCAGCCTTCCACCTCCTGGGATCTTTCAGGAAGAAACTGCTCTTGAAAAGAGGAGGGGGACCCAGGGCTGCTGCCAAGAGCCTTCGCCGCCCTCTCTGCATCCGGCCCCTCCCTTACCACCCCAGCTTCTTACTCTCATCCTCCTGGCTTCTTCAGAAATCCTCAGCCATTGGTTCCCATCAGTCTCCCCCAAGTCCTTGCTTCCTGCTCCCTTTTCTGCCCTGAGCTTATTTTAGACCATCAAGGCTGGAAGACAGATCAGCGATAATTGAGGCCACCCCCCTGTAAGAGGTGAGGACACTGGAGTCAGTGAGACTGGCTTTTGCCCTGGGATGTCCTCGTCCGGGGCAGGCATTTCTCCCAGCCCTCTGATTTGACTTATTCCCACAGCTGTGACTTTTGTTTGTTTTCCCCCAGAGAGGTACAGAAACCTCTTTCAGGGACTGCATGGTAGCCTCAGACCTGGAAGAGCCTTAAGATCAGCTAACCTGCTTTTAACCAGGAGGAGACCAACCCCAGAGAAGGGAGCAGCTTGCCCGGTTCGGGGCCACCGTGAGGAGTCTTCATCCACTGTTCTTGCCCTACTCGTATAAAGGGTCTCCAGTGGCCTCCCATACACTTGTGGTGAGGAGGATTGCGCCAAGGCAAGGGTGATGATGTTACAGAAGGTTCCTTGGAGCAGGCTTCGGGTATCCCACTAGGGACCTTGAGATTGCTCGCTCGAGCAGACGAGTTCCGTAGTCTTTCCTCACTACTGGAATTCAGAGTGATCCAGGGAAAGGAATAAGCAACAATCCTCTGTTACCTGTCAGGGCATCCTCCAGTCCCAGCCCCTGTCCACAGGGTAGCATCTGTCCTTCAGTTCTTCTCCGATGCATTTCCTGCGTAGATATGGACTCAAGTTCATAGTTAAAACCTTTTTTAACCTAAACTGTATGTACGTATGTGCAACATATTTTTTTCTGGTTAGTAACATGTCTTACAACTCTCTTCATGGTATTAAATACAAATATACAAAAGTCATTGTGTATAGTGTACCACCAGATATGTATTATAGTTTTACTGTATTGATGGATAGCAAGGCTACTTCTGGGTTTTACTGTTATAAACGGAATGCTTCCACGAACAGCTTTCTAAATGTTTTTGGGTACATGTGTGCCTGCATGAATGCAAGTATTTTTCTGGGGCAAATACTTAAAAAAGATGACAGGATTGACATCAAGCGCATTACATTTTTTATAGGTAGCACCAAATTGCCTTTCTAAAATGGCTGTGTCATACCATTGCCAGGATTGGATATTATCAGATGATTTAATTCTTTAATATTTTCCCTAATTGCCAGTGATGTTAAGCCTGTCTTTATAATATTTATTAAATAAATTTTATTTCTTTAGTGCGTGCCAGTTCCTGTTGTTTGCCGTGTTTTTGTTTTTGTTTTTTTAAATTGGGTTAGTTCTCCACCCCCATTGATTTGTAGGAGTTTTCTGTATATACTCGAGGTCAGGGGGTCCACAAACCTTTTCTATATAAGGCCAGATAGTAAATATTTTAGCCTTGTAGGTCATACAGTTTTTGTAGCAACTATGCAACTTTGCTATTATAGTGCAAAAACTGCATTGTAAAGCTGCTGTAGACAGTACATAAACTAATGGGAAATGACTGTTTCCAATAAAACTTTATTTACAAAGCCAGTCAGTTTTCAGGTTTTGGTGACTCCTGTTCTAGGTATTAATCTGACACCTGTCATATAGCACAGGTATTTTCTCTCAGGGTGTCACTTGTCTTTTAATTTTTATGTATGGTCATTTCTCTATATCATATGGTAGTTTTAAATATGAATGCAGTTAAATTTCCATATTTTCCTTTATAATTTGCAGTCCTTTTAATAAATAGTGACTTTTTATTTATTTTGTTGACCCTCACCCAAGGATATTTTTCCATTGATATTTTTAGAGAGTGAAAGAAAGGAGACACACACACACACACACACACACACACACACCCCATCATTGTGAGAGAGACACATTGATTGGTTGCCTCCTGCACACATCCTGACCGGGGTGGTGGATGGAACCTGCAACCCAGATACATGTCCTTGACCAGGTATTGAACCCAAGACCTTTTGGTGTGTGGGCTGATGCTCTAACCACAGGAGCAACACCGGTCAGGGCTGTAGTTTGTAGTTTTAATCTTAGCATACAAAGGTCTTCTTTCCAAAGTTATAAAAGCATTTCTAAATGCTTTTATGCATATGTTCATGATAGCACTATTCACAGTAGCCAAAACATAGCAACAACCCAAGTGTCCATGGATGGATAAATGGATAAGCAAATTGTGGTTTATCCATATATTGGAATATTATCCTATATAATAAAAGGCCAGGACCATAAGCGTCACGACTGAATGACCGCTCGACCAGTCTCCATGAGGTGCATTGACCACCTCTCGGTCCCCCACTCCCCCCAGGGCTCCGATTGCAGCATGGCGAACAGGGAACCACGGCAAACGGCGGGGGGCGGGGGGGGGCGGAGGGTGGCGGCGGGGCAGGACTGGGGACTGTTGAGCAGGGCGGGCGGTGGGTGGCGGGCAGCAGCAAGCATTGAGGGGCGGCTGCAGAGAAGGTTGTGGAGCGTTGCGGGGGTGGGGAGCTTCATGGAGCGTTGCAGGGTGTCAGAGGTGAGCGTTGTGGAGCTTTGCAGGGCGGGGAGCGTAGTGGGGGTGTCGCCGGGCGTCCCGGAGTGTCGGACATGGCCCTGATCACAGGCGAGGCCTAGGGACCCTGCTTGCGCATGATTTCCTGCGCTGGGCCTCTAGTTCAGTTATAAAAAGGAATGAAGTACTGAGACATGTTACAGCATGATTGAACCTC